CTTACCTTGCTTGTTATTACATATTCATGTGTGACTTCAGCTCATAAATGACTTTGCAGTATATTTGCAGAAGGAAAGTGCAACTTGTAAACATGTTTAGGCAATTGCTGTATCTGATCTTGGTCTGTCTGGCTCCATTTGTGCCAAGTCTTACATTAATGGAAGTCTCACTCAAACGGTTAAATGCATAAGCTCAAACCAGAAGCTACCATAAGACGACTGTTGATGGTTCAGCAGATTAAAGGCACATGGCTTTATTTTTATTCCACTGGGTTGAACTTTCCATTAAACAAAATGGTGGTTTATTTTTCATGATTTTGGTTACATGCCATAACACCTCTTAGAAAGAACCTCCATGATACTTGTCTCTGATATTTACCTCTGTGAACTTTATGCGTCTCAGTGCACTAAGTGCTCTCACTAAAGCTCCTTTTTAGTCCTTTCCATCAAGCTAAAGTCACTGGCACATGTCAGCATCGTGTCTGAATGAGGACCCTGATTTATTTTGCCATACAAATAACAATTATTTTAATAACCTCTTAATTTATGCATTTATTGTGTCTGTACAAAATGACTCAGCATTATGCTTTCAATTTGTCTGTGTGACAATCTCATAAACATCTTTAAATAGCTTCTTTTTTTTCTTTTCAAGTGCTGGTTAAAAGGAGCTATTCAAGTCAAAATTACATAACTTGACCTCTCTGTGGGGGATCCTGCCTCACACTTAAGCCACCCACTAAACTAATTTTCCCACAGTTTCTCTGTGTGCTGAAGCTCTCCACTGATAATGGAGGGAACGATAGAAAGGGGTCAAGTGTATTGGCTGGCTCCTCTAGTTTTCTGCAGCGTAAACACTAGTTTTAAGAGTAGCTTTGTCGTTAAAATATGACTTATGATTGCTGAGAAAAAATTCTTTTCTAAAATCGAGGGTGGAAAAGAGAAAATATGGTTGACATCATGGAACAGAGCACATATCTCAAGACAGAAGGGATTGACACTGAACAAACATAGTCTGGAAATAAGTGAATTTCACACTCACGTTTATCCTCCCTGTGTTGGTGTAGCAGTAATGACGAGATCTCAATCGCCATCTGCCCCAGGTCCTCCTAAGGCTTCGCTTTGCTTTTGGTTTCTAACTGTTGAGTGTTGTCCAAAAAACTACAAATACCGAATAAGGTGAAATATAAGCATTATATATTTGGGTAAAAAACATAATTTCTGTTAGGATTATCAAAGTATTGCGATTCTGATTCTGATAAAATATTCATGAACAAAGTGTAAAAATCCCTCATAACAAGACAAAATCTGTTTGTTGAACTTGGGTGAGACATGAGTGTTGGGATAACTTCTCTGTTAACACCAGCCTCATATTTATTCAAACTATTATCTAGAGACACCAGTTATATTCCTCAAGGCCAGTGATCTCTTCAACATAAACACTGTTTTTGGACTGGTAAAGAACTGTATAAAAAGACCAGGTAATCAAGTACGCTTAGCAAAAGGCAATTCTTCACAAACACAGGGAGCGTGTGCTATACGTATAACGACAACAATGTACTTATTCTTATAGTCCTTCCAGTATTTACAGTTAAATGGGAAGCTCTGTGGTCTGTGTCGATGGCTTTTCAAAACAGAAAGGAAATGACAGAAGTGACAAAAGCAGAAAAAAGAGTCAGGGTGTTGTTAATTAAAGAGGTACTATAAGCATCTTATGAAGGCTGTATTTGGAATTCCTAAAGATCCTAACCCATAATATTATTTTTTTAATACATCATTGTATAATATTTCTAAAATGTGATCCCCCCGAACTCCAACCCCAGTTTTGCAGCAAATGATCATTTTTAATCCATTGAAGTTTATTTTCTTAGTTTGAGAGTATGAGAAAACCTATTAAATGACACCTATTACTTGTGTTTTCTCTATAAACTCTTCTTCTACTGCACTGTTAGGATGGAAGAGGGTTTTTTTTCTCAAAGCTTCCTATTTTAGTGTGAACTTTTTTCCTTTTCTTGCCGTGGTGTCTTTTGTTTGAGCTTCTGCTTATCTAAGTAAGGCATGAATTACTACCACTGCGACATTTTAAAATGTTTTTAAGGTGTAGTTGATTTGTAATCGTGATTGTAAACATAGTAAAATTGTACAAACATGCAAATTTCCATCTAACAGTAACTGTCAGGAAGAGGAAATTGCCAAAAATAAATGCTAAAACTTGCTGTTACTTAACTTATATATTGAAATTTAACAAGTGTGGACTCCATATTTACAGACAAATGTGCCGTGACTGACTAAATGCAGTTATTTGTGCATGGTTCATAAACAATGTAAATCCATTCAGTGCTTTTCAGATTTGCACAAAGTGTGTTTTGTTATTGCATGTGATATTTTCTATTTTTATCTTCTTAGGATGATGTTCTTATGATGTTCACTTTCTATAGCTAACCCATGCTCTCGAGATCATTTCATTTTCATTTGATGGGGATTCACCAGTTAACATCATGATACTTGTGTTTTAAGACACCTTTTTCACAGTCTTCATTCTGACATGCAAATAGATGTAAGTGCAAAACTTTTCATCCCATTCTATGTATAGCACCATGACATATATAAATTGAAATGGGCTATAACTAATGCTATTAATTACACCTGTGTTTAAGCAGAAACAATCTGTCAAAATGAACCTTTCTGAGGCAGGAGGCTTGTTTCAGTGTTTACACCCTCTGGCAAAAAATTATAGCATCATTGCATGTGGAGGATCTTCATTCAACTCCTTTACCTTGTAGCAAATATACAAACTATGTCACAAAACTGTTTTTGTTTAATAGTGGAACATGAAAGATACCTCAAGCACATTAAATAATTGTAATTAATGTATTTGGTTTTTTCAAAATCAAGTAGTGGAAGAGAAGCTGTTGCACCTGGCTGATTGAAAGGAGGCAAGCCCCCAACAAGAGAGCTGTCAGTTAAATCAAACTCATTGCCAGAAGAATCCAACACTAAGTGTAGCTAAAGATGTTTGTTCCCAGTCAACCGTGTCTATAACTTGGAGTAAGTACAACCGAAATGGGAAAGTTCTAGGAGGAAAACTTGCAGGTAGACAGGAGATGTCAAAGTGTCAGGATAGAAAATCAGAGCAGTACGCCCTGAAAATGGAAAATGTTCAAAAATGTTAACAAATGGGCCGTAATGTTTGTGACAGAATTATAAAAATTAAATGGGATCTACATACAGAAAACCAAAAGGAAAACCAGCACTAACATCCATACAGAAACAAGGTTACAGTGAGCTAAAAAGAGAATGAAAGGCTATCTCGCTCTCTCTCTCTCTCTCTCAATCTTGGGACTATAGATGATTGGATGTAAGTGACTCCAGTGATAAATCACAAAGTCAGCCAACTGGGCAAGGAAAAGATACCCTGATGCTGTTCCAATGACACATATATGAAGATGACTGCTTGATGAAAACAAGCAAACTTTATCAAATAAAAGGCCCGGGGAAGATGGCAATCATTACTTCAGCAGTAAATGCAGAAGTGTACACTCAGATTTTCGTACCCTTCTAATCAGAAAGCAGGTTTAGTGATGATAATAGAGTCATTTAATCAGAAAAGGCCCATTACCTCAGTGCTATGGACACAAAAAAAGGGTTAAGATTTCAATCTGACTGAAAATTTATGGTGAAAAACTGAGCTCAGCTGTTATTTGAAAAAGTTGGAATTAACCAGATGGAGAGTATTGCTTTTCATTAGTGAGCTCCATGCCTCAAACCTTTTGGGGCGTCATAAAAGCCTGAGGAGGTACTAAATTGAGATGATTTCCTCAACAGTGATTCCATTTTTTTCCCCTCCACATGATCTTGAACAGAAATGTCATGTATTAAAATAGTTGAAATTAATTTGTTTGAGGTATGATTCATGAAGCCAGAATGTTCAGCTAATGAATAAAATAGTTCTGTGTCATATCTCTGATTTATTATTGTGCCGTGATACCATAGTTTTGCCGGGGGCTGTAGCTGCTCCTCCTGAATTTGACAGAAGTCTGCACATGCTCTAAACTCCACAGTTAAAGTGCATTAAGAAACAAAATGCAAAATGTGGTTTATCAGTTATACAATAGAAAAGCCTGTAGTTCAGTAGTTGCAGTCCAGCTAGCACATAATCATTTTAAACCTGAAGGGTTCTTGAAGCATGTTTTTAACCGTAAGGATTCTTCAGCTAATAATACTTTGCTTTGTGAAGTTTCCCATTATTATGTGGTTTAAAAAAGTGTGCTGGTTTTA